TTAGGGGATTATCTACAGTTCAGTTGAAGTAGACAGTTCCCTGCCAGCATCCTGGCTTTCTACACACACACACACACACACACACACACAGGTACAATTCAAAGTTCAGTGAAGTGCATATAAAGTGAAAAACAATAAACATCATCGGGCTTCTCCTTTGATGTGGGTGTGGCCACCAAGGAGTACGGTGCGGACTGGTGAGCTGATAATTTAAATGAAAATTGATTTTAATTGGAATGAATCTTCGGTGTCGTTTTTTCCCCAGGTGAGATACGAATTTGATAGATAAGCTGAACACTTTACATTTTCTGCACTAAAATATATGTATGGTATGCCTAGACTTTGCATAGAAGATTGGAAATTTGCCTTGGAGTTTTTGAAATGTATTTGAAATTTTCTATATCTCTTATCTTATTAAATAGTGACACACAAAATATATACATATGCAAACGGCAAAGCATGCTAAATATAGTATTATCCTCTTATTGGTAATGCGGATCATTCAAATTTACAAGATTCTAATCAATAAATTCCCCTGATTTCGCAAATTATCTAAAATGTACAAATTTTCAATGAAGAGCTCTACTATATTTATACAAGTATTACAATAACATGTTAATATGCCCATATATAACTTTAACAGCCTGCTTTTTGAATTTAATATGTTCATTATTTATCTCTTTAAAATCACATAAATTAAAAAAGTGTATATTTAAAATGAGCTTAATATATGTTAATATAAAAATAGATTCATGCTATGGATTTAGGGTTCAATGTTCTTACAAATGCATCCTGTACACCGAGGTTATCTCTCGGCCATCGAATCCCCACCGCTCTCCAGCTAATTGGTTGTGCAATGGTCGAGAGTCGTTGAATATTTACCTGGACCTGGACCCTCGGCCATCCATCATCGCCCCAACATGCTCAATCTCTGTCTGGAAGCGGCGCTCCGGAAGTGTGGCCACAGCAATCAACGCGCCAAGTTGGATGCGGCCATTTCGGCAGCTTAACCATAAATGTTGCATTTCGCTTTTAAGCTGCAACCTAACGATGTGTGTATGGCAGCGGATTGAGGGGAGGAACGGGGAGGGCAGGGGAGGGTGGAACGAGGCTTACCAGCAATTTGGGTTGGCTTTTCCCAGTGAACGGCAGCATCTGGCCACCTTTTTACACGTGCCCCAACTGCGCCGCGTCCTTCAGCCAACCGCTCATCTCCGGCTAATTCTCTATGCATTTCAGTGCCGCAATTCAGGAAGAATCCACCTGCCATTATGGCCCCCCCTCTTCCCCCTTTTCCCCCTCCTCCCACTTCCAGATCTGGCCGGAGATGTGGTCTATTTGAATCTTCCACTTGTTGGTGAGGGGTTGAGTATTAGCATTCTGTGATGGAACCTGCGTGGCAGGACAGAATTTTATTTGTTTGGAATTATTTGACCTAGACCTACATTTTGTAATTAAAAATCTTTAATTGCCTGCCAAAAATATAAAAAAGATTTTAAGGAAAAGTTCATGGCCAATAAGCCGTTTGCCCACATGGACTGCAAAAAAATAAAAGAAAAAATATTTACTTTCGAGGGCACTTTAACCCGAGCAATTTGGAAGTAAAAAAAGTAAAGATAAACAATTTTGTTTTTTAAGAACTGTAAATTTTTATTTTATTGTTTACATTATTAATAGATATATACCATGATATTACTTATATTTTTGTATAGCGATTAATGCTGGAAAAGTAAATGGAAATTACAAGGACGCTAAAGACCATTGTTCCTACGGGGAATATAAAATTTTATGGGACAGAAAATTGATTTAAATTATGATACTCTGGTCACCTATACTACATTACTACGGCGTATTTTGTTGTCGAGAACAAAAAGCTCAAAGTTAAAATGTTTGTAATTAGGCATGCCTTTTTTAATGGATTTTGTAAATCTAAATCAGTTACATAATTATGAACCTGCTTGGAATACTTTAGGCAATAAGAGTATGCCGGCTTTTAGTTTTGAACCTTTCGTTAGTTCTTCATTATGGGGCATTCACTCTCACATTATGCGGTAATGCCACCGCACACACTCACGTACATACACAACTGACTGACAGCTTGTTTGGTTTTTCTTCCTCCTTTCTTTTTTTTTTTTTTTTGCAACCATTCAATGAGCTTTTAAGAGCGCTAATTAAAAATGTGGCAACTGTAACCAATGCAGCCGCCGCCGACGCCGCCGCTCCCTTTCGACCGGCTTTTCATGCCATTAAGGCCCGGCTCGAACGGAGCCAACATAATGTGGCTGTCGTCTCGCCTTCTATTGGCCGCTCTTGAGCGTTTTGCGTCTCTGGGAGAACGCAATTAACGCCTTTACTCTTGGCATTGGCAGCCCTGGAAAAACCAAGGAAAACCGCAGCCCCCGAAGCCCCTGTGGTTATAGCGGCTTTGTTTGTGTGGAAAGCGTTTTTAGATTGCATATTTATTAAAATGCAGCTAAAGTTGCAGCACATGAAAGCACAAACGCAAGACGAACGAGCTAAAGGAAAAGCTAAAATGTAATAACTCTTGTTGGGCCCTTCCCGCTTTTCCGACCAACCCCCCTGTGCCTTTAAGTTTTTCCTCGCTATGCATTTCCGTAAGCAGCTTTTGTCCGCAGGTGTTTGCTATTGTGTTGGCTTAACGCTCGATGAGACGAGAGAAAAGCACTCAAGAAAATTATAGATCATTGCGTATGGGATGTCCTGATTTTAGGGAAAAATATTCTTGTATTACTAATTTATTTAAGAAGAACCCTGGGAATAGACTATCTTCAAATAACTGAGGCAGAGCTAAGGGGTTATATACAGTTAGAATTAAAAAAAAATAATTTTTTATTAATAATTTATCCGGTGAATATTTTCATAGTTACACGCAGGCGTTTTAGAGCGCTAGAAAATAAAAATTTCTCAAAATGTTGTTTTTAAAGTTTTAAAGATTCTGAAATATACTTTTTAATAATTAATCGAAGATTTTTTCTTACCGATAAATACTTTTTATTTTATGAACGATTTAAAACCGATGTTTTGATCAAAAATCCATGATTGATGAACTAGACATTTTCATCAGTGTACTTGTCTGGAGCAGCGTTCATTTTGCTTCCAAGGATTTTTTAAGACCAAGCTGCTTATTATCGCAAAAAAAAAATATGTATATATATATATTAAAAATGAGCGGCAACTAATAAGCTTATGGCCGTACAACCTGGCATCGCTCAGCCATCCAACCAGCCATCATCCTTGCCGGTTTCTGCTAATTGTGAGCTAATTCTAATTATCAGCAACACATTCGAGAGGTTCTGGTTCTCGTTTTGGTTCTGCCTCCGGACTCCCGACTCCCAACTCCGACTCCTTCGCTCCTGTCTAGCAGCTAACGAGTGTTTATTAATAGCGCTAATGGCAAGCGACGCCTTTGATGAGCGTAAAATGCTTAAGCACACAGATCCTGGCCGGGCTTTTGGCTCCTTTTTCCTCCTTTCAGGCCACGCAATTAGCGCACAAATATTTCCGCATACATTTTGTATTTTTCTTTTTTTTTCGCTTTTTTGTGTTTCTGCTGCCTTTCCGTTTTGGCCATAAAAATGCTCAACCGAATTGTAGTAATTACAACAATTTGCATAAGAGCGGGACAGAGTGGAAGGGCGGAAATCAAAAAGCGCAAAGCGTCGAGCCAAGCGCACAGAAGTATGCTACGCATTTTGCAATTTATTCGGGCAGACAAACGGGTAAAGGACAAAAAAAAAAATAAAATAAAAGAGGAGCTGTGAGAAAACGCTAATTATGTAATATGAAAATGCGAGGACAACGTTGAATTATTTGCATATGGTAAGCAGCACAGCACAGGACAACATAGAACCCTTTCTTTTTTTTTGGTTATTTCTTTAGCCATTATCAAATTCAATTAACACTCCGCATGCGGCAAGGAATTTTTTTTTAATTTTTATTACCATTGCCGTGGCGAATCAAAAACCACACGCAAATCAAATCTGCATTCGTTTTGCTGGTCTACCTTGTGCTGCAGTTGAAATTTCAATTAGGCCAACCAATTTACAATTGAATAAATTCAAACCTAAACCCTTGTGCAACGCCCGATTTCCACAAAGTGCAACAAGCGAGCGGAAGACAAAAACACGATTGTGAAAATCATAAATTCTGGCAATAGAAGGTGGAAAATTCGATTCTTTGCCGAGAGAGGTCAGGCAAGTAAATCAAATGTGCTGGAAATTGCATTCGAATCTTTATTTGCAACTAAAAGGCAGATGCGAGAATGATTCACTTGAACATGCAAATTGTTCTTTATTTGAGCTGCGAGAATTCCTTAAGCAAACTAGCAGATTGGCAGGATAAAGCAATCATGTGAAACATGAATGTTCATGTTTTGATTGGTTTTAATAGCTATTCATATTTCTTTCTACAAACGATTAACTAACATTGGTAACATTTATAAGTAAGGAAAAATGGGCAATTTGATTCTTCAGCTGGGTTTAAAGCTTTTTTTGGTAATTCTAAAACATTTCAGCATTATAATACATTTTGTAATAAATATTTTTAATATTTACTTGTTTACCTTTGTTTACTTAATTGTCCTGTTAAATGACTTTTAATTAACTTAGATTTAATCTCAGGTTTTAATGTGGATTTCCAAAGCTCCTGCCATCGATTGTTTTAATTTCCAGGTAAATTTTCACCTTACGATGACTTTTTTCCGTGCAACCGATTCATAGCATAATACCCATATAAAATCCACCAACGAAATGCCAAAGTTGTTAAAACAAAAAAAAAAAACAATAATAGCCGGAAACCGGGGTAAACACGAAAAGTATTTTGAAAAAAGAGGGGCTTTTTTTTTTGCCTGAGTCGCGCGTTAATTTTGCATGCCCCAAAAAGTGTGCACTGCGACGGAAAAGGAAACGAGTGCCCGAAATTTCAATATGCTGCTTACGGCTATACGCTACTACCTACCGATGTGCAAGGCAAAAAACCAATTTCAATTTGTTAACCATTTTTTTATTCGCAATCAAATTTATTACATCGACTGACAACAAAAGTATTGAGTGAAAAAGGAGCTTGGCATCCCCTCCCCCCAAAAAAAAAGGAGAATATGGAAAACAAATTTGCAATCGGCGCTTATTTTCTTAAAAATATAGATATCCATGTGTGGCTCTCCTCTTTTTACTTCTCTTCCTGGCCCGTGTGTGTGTGTGTGTATTTGTTGTGCTGCGAGAGTGTGTGTTTGTTTGCAGGACAATTAAAACCAGGCAAACAGAACAACAGTGGGCGGTTGGATGGTTGGGTGGTTGGAATAGCTCGCAGGCAGCTCGTGGCCCTAGTAAATGGTAATCAACGCAAATCCTCCATAGAGCACTGCACACGGATAGGCAATCAGCAGCTGTTGATGGTCCATGGAGAAGGCGGTGGCGAACAGTTTCGAGGCCGATATGGCGCACCAGAATATGGAGATGCCGCTCACAATTAGGCCGAGTGTGCCCCTGCAAGAGTGAAACGAGATACCAACTCAGACCAGATAGATATAGACAGCGGTGAAATCAATAAACAATGCATATGCATGAAGCAGCACCAGTACAGAGTGAGAAAAACCCCATAACAATCTGAGCTTTTTAGTCCCATGAGCAAATTTTTGATCTAGAATAAATAGTTTTTTGAAAGCGGAATGGAATCTATAGCATTAGCCATTAAAATTGATATACCTTCGATATATATATATGTACAACTATTTTAAAACTTAGCTAAAGTTTGTTAAGTTAACTGAAGCATTACTGGATTGAATAAATACTTACCAACACAAAAAGTTTTAGTGTGCTAACATAATACTTTACTTTACGTTACTTTTGACAATAAAACTAGGTCGACTCATACAAACTTTGAATTAGAAAAATACTTGTATAACTCTCACTTTTAAAAAATATTAAGTTAAGTAGATAAATGAAGAATAAAACTGACATTAGTTTGCCATTTTTTTGAGGCACAAAATATATTAATATTTAGCCACAAGAAAAATTAAGTAAAATCGATTAATATGTAGAAATAATATTTCTCCCGGTGCAACGACTTGGAATCGAGTATTCCACTGGCAGTGTTCATATAAAAGGATGAGTATGTGGGTGTGGGTGTGGGTATGAATGAGCGTGTGTGCGAATGAATGGGCAGGGCAAACAAAGACAGCAGGCGATGTGCCGGCAAAAGGATGTGCAAACACAGTCCAACTACAAAGCGCACACAGAACCCACACTGGCACTCGCATGGAAAGCCCAGCGGAAAATGAAAAATTGATTGCAAAGCTATACTCGGCAAATGTTACCTATGTTTGTACCTTACAAGTTAACTGATAAGGCTGACCTTAAATACAATCCCAATAAGCCTATTACTACTTCTTATGTCACATTAAAATAAAATACAAAACATTAAACAGTGTCAAAAGTTTATTGTTAGTTTTGGGTACAAACATTTTAGAACCAAATCAAAGAACAGAAAACACACGCAAATTTATTGACTATCGTCAGGCCTTAACAAGATAAACAGTACTTCACCAAGTAGAAGGAAACATTAGTTTAGTTTATTGAAAAGCAAGGAAAGTCTAAAATAAAGTCCACTCTTGACCAGTTGATCAGTTTAAAGTTGTAAGCCGTGAATCTTTTACTGCTAACCCATTAAATCTGGCCAAGAAATCAATTTACGAAACCAAAACATAAATCCCCATATTCCAAAGTTTCAATTTTCAGCTACACGCACGCGTTAAATGGATTGCCTTTCTGTGGTCTCGACGGCTCAGCTGTCACCTCCACCTCGAGCTCCACCTCCACATCCGATTTTTTCCTGACCCCTGCAATCTTCTCCAGAACTTTGTTGCTGGTCGGTGCCAAGGGATTTTTTTTTTTTTGGCTCCGGACTGGGAAGCTTAAATGGACCGGCGCTGGCCTAAAAACCAATCAAAACAATACTATGTAGTGCCGGATAACTGCACTGTCTGTGTAATTTTGGCGCACTTTTGCATCACCAAACAAACTCAATTAAAAAGTCTGTCTAAAACAAAAAAAAAAGGACTTCGGGGAATCGCAAAAATATTTACTGTAAACTTGGCTGGCATTCGCACGGACTATATGAACATCAAAGCTAGTACACACACCCACACCCACACACACACGTCCACCCCAAAGTGCAAGCGCTTAAAGCCAAAAAATAAAAAATGCAGGCAAACAGGCAACCAAAATGGCAATTGCAATGGGCAGTTGGACAGTTTGGTGAAAGGGGGAAGTGGGAAAGGGGGGAAGAGGAAAATTGGTAGTGTTTTTGGGGCCGACTGGGTGGGTGGGGCAAACAAAACGCGCTTGGTGTCGAGTAAGCGCGAGCAATAGTTGTTTTTTACACACACTCATTTCCAGCCATCACCAACCACCCACCGCACCACTTAGTTACCCCGCGCCGCTCTGAAATTATGACGTGCCAAAGGGAACAGGCGGTGGATTCGCCAGAGGAAGCGCTAAAAACTCACGCAGCATTTGCGTGTTGCTCCTCGCATGGCCATCATAAAAAGCGTGGCGAGTGAGTGGAGCCAGAAAAACTAAAAAAAAAAAGAAAATGGCAGAAAGGAAAGCAGCAGGGAAAACCAGTGGACGAGGGGACGGAAAATAGCAAGGAAAAAGGGGCGACGGAAAGCCCGGCTAGCGAGTGCTGGACACATATTTGAAAAGGAAACTACGTGAACGAAACTCAACGGGTGGCAAAACAGGACATGGAACGTTGGACAGATGGACACAGGACCGCCTGGCAGGACCATTCCCACCGCCCACTCAGCAAAACCACCCACATTCACATCTACATCCACACCCACTGTTCTCAGCGCGAAAATTAAACGGCGCATAGTTGGCGTTATTTTGCTCCGTTTTTTGCCTGTCTTGCCTTGGCTTCAATTGAGTCCGAGGTCCGTAGACCGTAGTCCTCCGTCCGTAGTCCTCCATCCGTAGTCTGTAGTTGGGACTCCTCCGTCCGTAGTCTGTAGTTTGAAAGTTGTGGCCCTGGAGTGCACTAAAAGCGCAAATTAAGTTGGCTACTCTTTTTTTTTTGTTCGCCTCTATGTGTATGCATCGCTGGCCCAAAACTGCAGCAAAATTAAAAAACCTAAATTGTGCGAAAAGAGGCAAGGGGAAATCAACCCCATCGGATGGCCAGATAAAGAAATTAAATGCTGGCCCAGAAGGAGTTGCCGATGACGAGGGGAATCGTAATTGGCTTCGGAAAAAAATAGGTCAAGTTTGAGCACCTATGGTTCGTTGAAAAAATGGCTTTTTTAATTTATATTGACTTATTTCACAATTTTAAACCAAACTTATCCGTTGTATAACTTCTTTACAAAACTGTAAGTAACAGTTTAGATTAAACTAGATTATCAACGCTGAAACTTATTTTTAAGTCTATTTTTGTTCTCTGGCGGAAAATGTTCGATCACAACTAATATAAAATCAAATAATAACACTTCATCAATTCGTTGACCAGACTCAACTGTCAAGTTTTACTCCTTACCATGTTATAAATCAATATTTTGTTTCTAATTGTGCTTAGCAAATACAAAAAATACACAAGTAATTAAAAGCTGAGACAATTAGAGGTTCGAAATATTCAATTACCCTACAGCACATCTTAATTCTATTGCCCACTTTGGTGATTTCAATTTGCAGGACAACTATTTCAGCATAGATACAAAACCCTGCGCAACCAAACCTGCGGGCTAAAATCAAACAATCCAAAAACTACACCCGCAGTAACAATAATGCCAACAGCCAGAAGTGATCAACTTGAATGGATGGAGAGCTGCAGAGGCCGGAGTCGAAGAAGCATCAATTGCACAAATCTGAACGACTGGAAAGGGATCGAAAACGTGCTGCAGTCGCAGATGGACGAGCTTAGGCAAAAGTTTGTAATTACAGGCCACAAACAATGAGGAGTCGACGTCGATGCATTGGCAACTTTTCAATTAAAAACATAAATATAAAGCACAACGACTGCTGCAGTGGGGGTAGCGTCAAACTAAAAACTGAATTGAATTGAATTGAATGGAATGGAATGGAAGGGCAGAGCAGAGCCGCGCAGAGCAGATGAAAAGCCAGCGAGTTGTGTCAACAATTACTTACTGAATGGTGATTAAAATGTTGATACCCGACAGCACCACCATGGGCAGCAGACAATAGCCGAGCACCGAGGCCACCGCCCCGAAGGTCACCTGCGACCGGCTGACCATCAGCGAGAGCAGGCAATAGAAGAAGATGCAGCCCATCACGCCGATTCCGTAGATGTAGGAGAACGTCACCTTGCCGCTCTGTGGGAGAAAGTGGTGGGTTTTTGTTAGTGGAAGTCTGCTAATCTGCGCACAGGTAATTGGCGAAACGGTGCCAAACCAACTATGAGTTATAGCGTTAATATTTCATTTCATTTTTAGAGATTCAAGCTGGTGTCTTGCTTAGCATTCATAAATTTACATTACTTTGACATCGAGTTAAGTTGCTGTTTCGAAAACAAGTACTATCATAAAGAAGTATCTATACATTTTTATATTTCAAAAATTATAAATTAACTTTTTAGGGCATAAAATAGAAAAATCGATTGATTTGTAAATAAATAAATAAAGGAATAAATAAATTAAGCTATATGGGAAGCAATCAAATCGATTCTAATTTGTTGGTCAATACGAACAAAATCTATGGTCAGCTTAAAATTGTTTTGTTTTTGCAGTATGCTCAGGTTGAGGTTCCTGTTTTGAAATTAAATACCATTTAGTTTTATATTAAACAGTTACTAATTAAATTAAGCTCAAATTTTAGACTAATAAAATGCAAAAACATTTTTTTCTATAATACATTTTTCAATGATAAATACTAACATTTTCAGATACAATTTGGTGTAATCGAAACCCAAAGTAATTTAGTTAATTTGATAAATATAATTAGAAACGAAACCAATAAGAATTACTATAAAAACAACAATTTTTCTTAAAGTTTCCAAGCCAACTTCTTAACAAAAAAGATTTCTTTATCAAAATTGAATACAACCAAGAATTGATATCGACCGTATTAGAAGAAGGACGGGGTGTGGGGATGGGAATCTATAAACTATAACAAACCAGTAGTAGGAAGCCGCCAAGTGTGAGGCAGAAGACCAGTGGCCCCGCCATGTCCGTGTCCTGCAGAATTTGCTGGTCGGTGCCCCGCAAAGGATTCAGCACGGCGAGTGTCTGGAACGAATGAGTAACGAGAGTAATGCGATTAAAATTAGAGCAAGCGAAGGATTACACAGTGAGGGGGTCAGCACTGGACATATATACATAGGTCCGTCCGGCAACAGGCCATCATCACTCACAGAGCCTGCGGCAGGACACGGGATTCGGGATTCGGGACACGGGACTTTGGACTCGACACACTACACAACACAATTCATTTGTTCGCACAGCGGTCATAAAACGAAGCCCAACTCTCGTTTTTCAAACATTTGTTCTCTATGCGTTTTGGTCTTTCCCCCCTTCTTTTTTTTTTTTTTTTTTTTTTTTTTGTATCGTGTGCAGTGGCAGAGAAATTTGAAAAATGGAAATTGATGATAAATGATATTGCTGACCAGCCAGCCAGCAAGCAAGCGAGCAAGCGAACAAGCGAACGAGTGAGCCGGGGCTTGGAAACTGGGCCAAAAGCTGTCAACGCATTTGACGCATGCGAATGTGGGCCAGTACGAGGGCCATGAAATTTGATATTATGGGCGGCAAGGACCCACCAAAAATTGTCGATGAAATTCCGAGTGCCTCTTTGTGGGGTAAACCCACAGAGAGCCACTCGGAATGCCATCGACAGCTTTAATTGAGATTGAAATGAATTTGATATGGAAAAATGCAAGCATGCATAGAGGGGAAAAATGTAACACGAAGATTAGTTTTCATAATAATAACATTTTAAGTGATTAAAAAAAATTAGATTCAATTTTAACAGCAACAAACCAATATTCAGCACATTTTTCTTATCAATTGTAGTAACTATCCATTACTAATTGTCTTGCAATTAAAAACGATATTTAAATTTGTATACGAACTTTAATAAAAGTTAAAATATATTAGAATTACTTGAGAACAAGTAAAAACACATTTAAAAACGCAGAATAAATTATCTTTATATCGCGGGACAACTATATATATTTCTTCGCTGCACTTAAGCCTTGAAAATACCTTTGCTAACATAGCCATTCGCCATTCGCCATCGATTCATTACATTAACAATCCGGCCCAGAGTCAAACACAAATCTAACCATAATTCCCCCAGCTAGCTGATGAACAATTTAATTAGCATTTCATTTCATTTCATTCCATTTCAGTTTTATGATGGCACACGGACTCATTAACATTAACATTTTCATTTTTCAATTAACACAAGCGTAATAAATTCCGTGCCGGAGCGAAAGAAATGAGAATCAGGCGCACGCAAATTTTTTACAAAATGGACAAAAAATGCAGAAAGTTACACAGCAAACTGGACCGAATGGGGGGAAGGATGGGGAAAAAAGTGTGAGAGAAAAACTTTAATTAAAAACACAAAAGTTGCTTTATTTATTTAAAAACAACTACGACCAGCCCGGCGGCCAGTGCAATGAAAAAATATGTCTTCATTAACGACACAAACCGGCAAGTGCAGCGACAACAAAGCACAAACACACAAACACACAAAAAAAATAATAGGCAAAAATTACAGAAAAAAAAAATAAACGAAAAACAATAGAAAATATTGTGGCAGGAGAAGCTTGCAATAAATACAAAAGCGAATGCAAAAACATTTAAATTTCAATTAAAACGGAGTTGGCAGCGTCGGAAAAGCGCGGCCTAAAGTGGCCGCCTAAAAGGATGGCCACCCGCTGCGTTGCACAAATTAGAAAAGGCACGGGTCCGGGCTCGGATCCGGGTCTGGGTCCGTGGAAAATGCGTAAGGGCCACGGCAGACGCAGAAATTATGCGGCGCGCGGAGTAATTGTCCGGGCAAACAAAGTGGGCAACTCAAATCTCGAGGCTCCTTTGTGGTTGATGTGTGTGTCGGTGGCATCCGACGGGAATCGGGCGCATAAAATATGCAATTTGCCGGGCTCCCCCTTAAGATCTTTAGTTAAAAATGCTTTCAAGTGCAGCGGGGTAAAAAAGAGAGCCCTAAGCCCCTTTTCCCCTTTCCTCAACCTCAGGGCAGCTCCAAGGGTGGTAAAGCGAAGCTTTCTTTCTTTTCTCTTACCTTTTGGAAAATGTGATTCGGATTGATGCCCAGTTCTGTAAAAAAAAATAAGGGTTATTTTAATTATTCGAAACTATATAGCTAGGAGCTTATACCAAAATCAAACAATCAATTTATAACGAATTTTTGTTTGGTTGTACTTTAAAGAATTGTTTTACATTTCATTTACTTATGAATTTGCTATTATTTTGTTATTAGGGAGACCAAAAAACTACTTTAAGGTCGTTTTCTTGGCTTTTAATTTTGAAATGATCTCTTAAATTAAAAATAAATAGTTTTTTGTTTCTATTTTCTCAGTTTTAAAGCTATCTGCAAATAATTTTTGTTTTCGAGCCGGATCGGAAGACTATATAGAAAGAATCGGCAATAAAAAAAAATTTAGCATCGCTCTCTTTTGTTTTTTTTTTTAATATTTGGATATGCACTAGTTAGATAATCTAGAATTACGATTTTAATTTTATTTGAATCACACGACTATTTCATATATCTCTTATTGAAACAATCATAAAAAAATAAAATATTATTGAACAAAAATTATAACTGCTGTTTTTTCATCTTTTTTTAACATTCTTTGAGATATAATATATTTTGAGAGTTGCATTTAAGTTTTATGCAAATTTGACGACTATATCATAATTCTCTTATTGGAACAATCGGCAAAATATAAAAAAATATATATATCTACGCAGTTTTTCTATTCATTTTAATATACTTCGAAACATAGTGATCGATTATTTTAGAATTAAAAAGTTACTTTTAGCTATACGTCTATTTCACAGAAAACCGTAGATATTTGCAGACCCTTTAAAAAACTCGTAGTTTCCCTTATGTTTTAACATTTTTCATTGAACATATTGTTTGCAGAATCTGAATAGGCGACTAATTACTGATCAGTGATTACATTTTTGTTTTACATACTATTATTTTTTAACAGCCAATCTTACCCTCCAAAAGTGGTGGCTCATCGTCGAACTCGTTGCCGGCTCCTCCGGCGGCGCCTTGTTTTCCGCTCTTGTCCTGGCCGTAACTCGTGTCCGTGTACGCCGTAGGATCGTAGAATCCGCCCAATCCTTGGGCCGGTGGCTGGGCATAGGCCGCATCATAGTTGGGCGGCACCGAGGCCTGTGTGTTGTCGAAGGTTTGGAAGTTCCTAAAAAGCAATTCGAGCAACAATTGTGGGTGGAAACTGGAATTCCCGCAGTTTACTCACAGTTCCTGACCAAATTCCGGCATATCGAAGTTGTAACTGGCATCCGCCGATGGCGAAGAGCCGTAAAAGTCATTGGGTCCGCCAAACTGAGACATATCTACTTAATTTAAGCACAATTCAATTGGTATATTTACTAAATTTAACAAAACAACACGTCAACTAGAGCTGGAACAAATATCGATGCTCATGCGATAACAATCGATAATTTCATGGTTTAGTAAGGTTTCAAACCTTGGGAAAAACTTAGATAAGAACAGGGCTACCAACACCCTTTTCATTTGCTTTCATGATTTAGCAAGGTTTCGAACCTTGGGGAAAACTTAGATAAGACCAGGGTTGCCCACACACTTTTTAGCTGTCAGAAACTCAAAAATCATTTGAAAACATTTGCAACACAGCCCCAAACAATTTCAAAAGTTTCCAGGCCTTAATAAAAATAACTAATCAATTCCAAGCAGAACAAGCAGAACCAAATAAAAAAGCTCACATTTTGTAACATTCATAATACATTTTATTTCCATAGCTCCATTTGCAACGCACACAAGTTACTGAAATAGCTATTCATCTTTGGTAGTGGAGGTACATGCTCTTGGGGCTACGTTGTTATTGCATTCTTTAAAGGTCTATAATATGTAGGAATATATAATAATATTGTAATTTCGTAAAGTTTCAAACTCTCTTTAGATTCGTTTAGTTGGTTTAGTTTCACACAATAGGGGAACGAACACAATCGATAACTATATGAAAATTTACTAACAATACATAGCTGTGAATTATAATTATATATCAACATAGATAGTTATACACATGTCTCGCATATGTACGATATTTATGTATATGGCTGGTTTGTTTAACTGCGATTCATTTGCGCTACCGACTAATTATTGTTCGTCTTTCTCAACTCGCCGTCCTGTCGTGTGTTTGTTTTGGTTTTGCATATTTCCTGTCGATTCGATTCCATTCGATTCTGACCTGACCTGACCTGACCTGACCTGACTAGACCTGAAGCGGGCCAAACTGTTTGTTTAACTTATAAATAAACTTGGATTCAAATATCTTATTATGCATTATGTAAATATGACTAGATTGAATGGGGAATTCGAATAATAACCCAGCTTTGGTTGCTTATTTCGTTTGGTTTGCTTCTTATCCATTCCTCTTGCTCTGGGGAATCCAGCTGCTGTTGTTCTCGCCTTGCTCCGCTTAATCCTCCAGATTTCGGAAGGCCTGCTGCACGTCCTCGTACAGCTGATCGTAGTCCGCCTTGATCTTTTGTTCGCCATCTTTCACGGGGTCCTGAAAAGGAATCCGGAACATTAATGTATTTATCTTTGTAGGCATAGTAATCAGCTAAGTAGATATTGGTTTCTATGGCAGCTATAGGCTACAGTCGCCCGATCGTTAGTTAAGGATGTAAACATATAAAAATAAAAATGTACTATGCGATATATATAATATATAATTTAACTGTCATATATGATATATCGCATTGTACATTTCTTTTCATTATTTTAGTCATCTAAAAAAGGTTTTTAAATAACATATAAGTCAAAAATCAGATATATCAGTTCTAATAGCAAACAAAACTTATTAAAACTAGTAACTAAAACTCACCTTGAACTTCATCGACGACAGCTGATACATAATGCCGCCCATCGACTCCCGAATGGTGTTCCATGTGATTTTGTTGTCCGACTGGGCTGTGGACTCGACGGCATGCCGGGCGGTCTCATAGAAGGACATGATGTTCCTCAGCATGCCCACCGTCTTGTAGAAGGGACACACGCGATCGTACGGCGAGTAGGAGTTCTGTTGCAGGAAGTCGTCCTTCAGCAACTTGGCCACCTCCAGGGTCACCTTGTCGGTCTCGGCCAGTGAGGCCTTGCCCACCAGCTGCACGATCTCGGACAGATCCTCCTCCTCCTGCAGGATCTCCTTGACCTTGGTGCGCAGCGGCACGAACTCGGGGAAGTTCTTATCGTAGTATTCATCCAGGGCACGCATGTACTTCGAGTAGGAGATGAGCCAGTTGATCGAGGGGAAGTGCTTGCGCTGGGCCAGCTTCTTGTCGAGACCCCAGAACACCTGCACGATACCCAGAGTGGCGGAGGTCACGGGATCGGAGAAGTCACCACCGGGAGGCGACACAGCGCCCACAATGGACACGGAGCCCTCGCGCTCTGGGTTACCCAAACACTTGACGCGACCGGCACGTTCGTAGAAGGAGGCCAGACGGGCGCCCAGATAAGCCGGGTAGCCAGAATCGGCAGGCATCTCGGCCAGACGACCCGAAATCTCACGCAGCGCCTCGGCCCAACGGGAGGTGGAGTCGGCCATCATGGCTACGTTGTAACCCATGTCGCGGAAGTACTCGGACAGGGTGATACCAGTGTAGATGGAGGCCTCACGGGCAGCCACTGGCATGTTGGAGGTGTTGGCCACCAGGGCAGTGCGCTTCATGATGGACTCGGTCACACCGCCGATTTCGCAGGTCAGTTCGGGGAAGTCGCGCAGTACCTCGGACATCTCGTTGCCACGCTCGCCGCAACCCACGTAGATGATCACATCGGAGTTGGAGTACTTGGACAGAGCCTGGTGAAATGTTCAAACATAATTGATTTCTTAGATTTGATGCTAATAATTGCTTTAAGGAGCTATACCAGTGTAGTATTTTTTAAAATACATTTTTATAAATTTTTTTGGCCTTATCGATAGTTCACAGTTTGAAAAATATGCCGAGAAAGCGGCAAGGTCGTATCTATAAAAGTTTTTGAAAGGCAGCGTTTGAAGAACACGCATACACCGCTGCATCTGAAAATTTAACAGCGTTTATCTCGAAACGACATTTTTGAAAACTACTGACATCATAAGTCGACTACAAGTTGACCGATCGGTTTAAAATTAACGCTTAATCATCTTAAAAGTGTCCTACTTACAATGAACTACGAACTTTTTGATTGGTTGAAAATTACCCATAAAAAAAATCATTTTTTCAACCCAAAAAACTACTTTTTTTTCAAACATATACTTTTTAAAGATCGTAGATCATTGTAGGGAAACATATTGAGCTTTCATAGTCCCGTAATTACTCAATATTTTGTAAAAAAGCCTTAATTACAGCTAAAAATGTGAAAATTTTAAAAGATTCTATTATGTACTTTCCTTAAAAAAATTCCAAAAATTACATATTATTCCATGGGTTACACTGGTATAGCCCCTTAACCGGAATAGACATTATCGAATCAACTTTTAGGTAGTATTGAGCAACTCACCTGCGAAATGACGGTCTTGCCGCAGCCGAAGGCTCCGGGGATGGCAGTGGTGCCGCCCTGGACGCAGGGGAAGAGCGAGTCGAGGACACGTTGGCCCGTGAAGAGCGGATGGTTGGCGGGCAGCTTCTCGGTCACGGGACGTGGCTGACGCACTGGCCACACCTGCAACATGGTGTGCTTGGTGATCTCGCCATCGAACTCCGTCTCCAGGACGACATCCTCCAGGTTGTAGTTGCCCGAGGGGGCAATGTATCGCACGGTTCCCTTCGCCCTGGGCGCCACAATCATGCGCTGCTTGACCAGCGTATTCTCGTGCACCATTCCGTACAGATCGCCGCCGGTTATGTGCGAACCCACTCGCACATTCAGCGGATTGAATTCCCACATTTCGGAGCGCGACAAAGCGGTTGTGTTGACACCCTTGGGTATGTAGATAGAGCTGGTCATCACACCAATATCCCGCAACGGACGTTGGATGCCGTCAAAGATGCTGCCCATGATGCCGGGCCCGAGCTCCACGGAGAGGGGCTTGCCGGTGCGCAGGACGGGATCGCCAACGGTGACGCCGGAGGTCTCCTCGTACACCTGGATGGTGGCCATGTCGCCCTCCAGCCGGATGATCTCGCCCACCAGCTCGTAGTAGCCCACACGGACCAGCTCGTACATGGCCGATCCCGACATGGCCTCCGCGGTGACCACTAAATAAATAAAGAAAAGAGGCGGTGGCGAAGAGCAGGGGAAGATTAGCCAGATCTTTGGGGGGGGTCAGCGATTGAAGGACGCTGGTGAGGTCACTTACCTGGTCCCGAAACCGCGTAGACACGTCCATACTCGGACTCGCGCTCCTCGTCTTTGAATTTCCTCAAATTGGACATGGTCGCGGTTGCTGCTCTTCTTCTTCTGCTGCTTCTGCTTCGGTAACGGTCAAAACGCTCGTTGGCTGTGGGGAAAAAAGTAACCGTTTTTCGTATAAACAAAACACATTTTCCATGCCCCCGCGAAAGTTTTCCGTGTGCGCTGCGAAGGAAAATCATAGGTGGCGCTGTTGTGCAGCAGCAGCCCCCAGTAAAAAAAAACTTCACACCCCCGCAGCCCAGCATCGATTTTCCAATACAATTTTCACGCATGCCTCGGACGGCCAGCTGAAATTTTCACATTTCCTGCAGCACATTCTCGTTTTTCACATTTTCTTTTTGTTTGGACCCATTGAGGGCTGCCTATTGCTCGTTTCGTTCGGTAATAATTGTTTTTTTGGCTGTCCTAAAATTAAATATGCTCACATTTGTTTCACCAGCTCTTATGAAAATTCTTGCTTTTTTGATTTCACTTTAGTATTGATTTATCGGTTATCGACGAGAGTGCCTTACTCTTCTTAGAGATGGACTTGTCCAAGCTCACGTCGCATGACACTGAGTATTTAAACGTGGAACCGTTATTTAGGGATCGATTATTTATTTTGAATACCCAACTCTATTCAAGATAGTTGCAAAAAATTGAATTTATAGTCGTTTCCGTTGACATATTTTTGAATAAAAACATAAGCCATAGAAACGTCAAAGTTTCTAAGAGTTAACTTTGAAAAATTATTTATTCAATTTTTTATACTCAAGCATATAAGAGCAAAGAATTGTGTACCTTGTTTTGCAAGTTGTAAAATATCAATTTTACGAAAACAAGTCACTTATTTAAAATTGTTTGGAAGTTTATCCCTTTCTGTTTTCACAAATTTTTAATTTGTGTATTTCGGCATTTAATTAGCAAAAATTTCTTACACAGTCATGATTAAACTACATACGGAGTGTGCACAAGGCAAGAAATTTAAACTAACAGAGAGCGTAAGAATGCAGTGGAATCTGTTAACAGAGACGTAACAGCAACAGTGATCTTTTGGTGTGACCATTTG